CCCCCCCCCCGCCAAGCCGCCGGTCTACTTAAAGACGGCCGGGAAGAAACCGTGTATCGCAGTGAATGCCGCAAACTCATGTTGTTTGTGGGTGATCTAAGGGGTGAGTACGTGTATACCAATTCCGTGGGTTTTCCCGCTGGTCGCTGTTTCACCGCTGCTGATTTAGAAGTTGTTGCTGCTACTGTACTGTTGCTGCCGCTACTGTGCTGTTGCTGCTCATTGATGTTGTCACTGCTATTGTGCTATTGCTGCTGTTACTGTAGTTTAAAACGGTGTCTCCTCCATGTTTGATGCTAAGGGTGGTGGTGTCAGCCTCTATTCTCGGGCTGGCACTAGTAAAGTGAGTGATGCGTGTTCAATGAGCGTTATGCGTCCCACCGTGTCATTAAAAACGTAGCGCAGTTTTTCACTATCTGTAATGATAGTTCGCGCGTATGTGGGTCGCCTTGCTTAACTACACCCAGAGAAAAACCTCGATCTATATAATAAATTCATTGTTCAATTTGATAAATATATCGTTACTATTGAATCTATGATATATTTATCAATATGATAATTTTTTTTCTTGTCTTGAACAATAATTATTTATAAGAATAATTATTTTGTTCGTATTAATAAAACATTATCATAAACCCTTGATAAAATTTCTCTATTAAAATTGATTGAGGTTTTTCTTTGGGTGTAGTGTTGATAGATCTACATCGGGTAGCGTGTGCCGAGTACTCGCTTTCCAACAAGCTGTAGTGTGACGCGTCGCGCCCAAGTGAATTATACCTGCAGCGTAGTCCCAGGAGACTTCCTATTCTGTTAGAAAATCGTGTCCCAGAAGTACGTCACAGTATAGATTCTCTAAGATAACAGCTGTGAACTTTACTTGTAGATCCGCAATTTTTGTTATAAAGGTAGCTGTGCCGGCCGTGCTGTTGTGTGACCGTCAGCTAACCTAACTGGGGGTGTTTGTCCGTTGTGCACAATTCCAAATTTGTGAGCTGTTGCTCGAGTGGTATACGATTTTTGTGCTTAAGAGTCAAGTAAGGCCGTCACAAAGCCGTTGTCAAATTCCAGGTCCACAGCGAGAGTAGTAATTTTACGCGGACGTGTTTGTGCGGCAGTACTCAGGTGGTTAGCGGTTCGAACGGGGGGCGTTGAAACGGTTTGTTCGCCGGCAGTATTAATTGCCATTGGCGGGTAGGCCGTTCCTGCCGTATTCCCCTCCCCCACGGTGACCAACATAACTACTAGTTTTACACAAAATAATAAAAGAATATAGAACGGCGCGGCGTAGAGCAACTGAACTAGTCGTCTATTTTTCGAATGCTAATATCAGCATTCGAAAATAAACTTTATGCGTTCAGTAATAAAGTTGCTTTCATTCTGTTTCTCTTTTGCGGTCGGCATTATCAAACAGGATGATGGCGGCTTCAGTAGGCGTTATCGTTTTACAACCCTTAGATAATTGCAATAGATAACGTTTATTTTTCACCAATGTACCGGTTCGATTTGCCAATGAAAGATTTTAGTCGCGAATATAGGAATCAAGTCGCATTTTTGATCGCAAATATAGAGCTTTCACTGTGAAAAAGTATAAGCACATGATTAAAATTAAGATAATAAACTCAAACAATATTTTTTTAAACATAATGATAATTTCTGGGGAGGTAATTACCACTTTTACCCCCCCCCCCCGTATAAACGCGACTGATATAGTTTATTTTATATGAAAACTTGTGCTATGTTCCAACTTTGTTGAACTAACTCAATTTATAATTTTTTGGTACGTAGCACGTTATTGATTTCATGTTGACATATTAAGAGTCATTTTATTACAGTGGAACTTTGATTAACTGTCACTCGTTTATCCGTCAGTCTCTGTTATCCATCATCGAAAAAAAATACGCGAACGCATTAAGCATAGCCAACGTGTTGTGGTATATATGTATATAATGTTTAAAAATAGAGTAGAAAATCCAATACCCACGATTAGCGATCGCGTATATTGGATTTTCCAATTGCGAACCTTATGGATTTTAATCTCTTTTTTTATAAAATAATCAGTTACTGACGAGTACCTGTGGTGTGCAAATCTTTATTATTAGTTTGTCTTATTTAATATATAATAAGTGTGGCATTTCTAAAATAGCTGTAAAGCGGAAACGTGTAGTGTTAAGCTTCAACCAAAAACTTAAACTTATTAAACGTTTGAGAAAAGGTGAAACTGCTACCTGTATTGCTCAGATTTACGGTGTTGGCAGAATAACTGTGAATGACATAAAACGTGATGCAAAAAAATTGAACAGCATATGACGAAAATGTAAAGTACTGATGAAGATGTTAAAAGTCGTAAAACTATAAAACCTTCAAAATATAAGCAACTTTACAACGCTATGTAACAGTGGTTTATTCAAACCCGAAGTCAAGGAATTCCACTTTCAGGTCCTATTATTAAAGCAGGTGAAATGGGTTAAATTCTTGACAGCGATTTAAACTTTAAAGCAAGCATATCCTATGCTATTGCTTGATAAGTTTAAAATTCGTCACGTCATTCGACAACCAAATATTAGTGGGGAGAAACCTAGTGCAAATAGTACAATCATGGCTGACTTTAAGGAACTATTATAATTTAGAATACAAACGGATCGTAAACTCGTTAATGAGTAAGTATACAACTGTGATGAAACCGGACTTAATTGGAAAGCTTTACTACAAAAAATTCTCGCATCATTTTTCAAAAAAAAGGCCCCAGGTTTCAAAGTTCAAAAAGATCGAATCATTGAAATACTTTGTGCAAATGGAACTGGTTATCATAAATTACCCTTACTGATGATATGAAAATGTAAAAACCTCGTGCGTTTAAGATTAATTTAAGAAAGAAATTTTGGAAAATGCTACAACATAAAAATTGTCATTTTTAATGTTTCGGATGCATGAACTGATCTTACAGTGTAAAACCTAAAGAATGAGTGGAATAAACTGAATGTCAACCTTATTGGCTGAACCAATAACGTTGACATCTAAAGAAACGTGTTGACAAAATTTTACAACTGTGCAATAGATTAAACATGAAATATCAACAACAAAAGAAATAACAGATTGATTAGAATGTGTTAAACATGACGAAGACGTTGAAATGTTGAATGTTGATCAAATTGTTAACAATGTTATTGCCGTTGAAGAAGTTGATAACGACGTCGAAGATTTACTAACAAAGAAAATCAGACTACAAGTTTTTCCGAAGCAGAGGATATGTTTTCAAAGAACATCTAATGGTTTGAAGTACAAGAGGAGACAAATACAACTTGTTTGTAAATAATAATATAATTAATTATAATAATTTAAATTAATGGATTTTATATATAAAAGTTGTTGGCAAATTTTACTATAAAAAAAATATATATGTTTGTTAAAAAATTTCTATTAACTCTGTGATGGTTAATATAATGGTTACTATGTCGACGGTTAATCGAAGTTTTACTGTAACACTGATTTTTTAACACTAAAGTTCAAATTAAACCGTAACTAAATTTCCATTTTATATTAAACTCATTATATAAACAAATTGAAATTTGCATAATTGTAATTTGTTTTGTTCAATAAATCGAGTATAATTTATTTTACCTTGTTGAACAGAATCGATTACTTCCAACGTTCTACAATTTTCAGACGGTATTTTTAATTCTTTATCTCTGCTCACTATTATTACAAATCGTTGATTAGTCAAAAAAATGTCAAATAAAATTCTTATAAGATCAAAGCAATTATAAATTTTTTATTTATTGTATATTGAAAGTGAAGTAACGAACTCTGATTTTTGATCTCTGACCAAAGATCAATTTTATAATCAAACCTAAACTGAACGAATCTTTCAATTTGTCAATCATATTCGAATTGAGTCTTAGGAGAACACAGGCTTTTGGGTCCGGCGAGCAATTACGTACACCGGCTAACATTGCTATCTTAACGACCCACTTTATAAAAATTTAAATTTAAGACTCTTAGATCTTATCATATAGGTCATTATTTTATAAAGCTGAAAGTAAAACATTTTTGTAATGTTTTGATTAATTTTAATTTTCTGAATTATTGTTACTAGACCAGGAAGTAAATATTTATAAATATTTTTTGATTGTATTATTAATGTCGTATTCGTAAAAAGAAGAAAAACAAAATATTTTAGTATATAAGACGAATTGGAATGAATTGAAAAGGGAGAAGAGAGAGAACCTCGGGAGCACCAAAGGTAATCTCTTTTCGCGTGATACTTTTATGACGATAAGTTTTATTCTTAAAATTTTATTGTTGCACTGTTTAAGTATATATTTGTTTTGTACTTTTTATATTGTTAATATATCTTTTATAATTACATTTGTGTGATTATTGAGCTTTTATTACTATAAGTTAGAACAAATAAGATTGTTTTGATTTAAGATACAACAATCTTCAATTAACTGTAATTGAATATTTCTATAGTAACTAATTAAATTATTAATTTTGTGTATTTTAATTCAATATAAAGTGCAAATATTGCAGTTAATACATATAATACTGGAAAATCTCGAAAACTGTTAACAAATACTGTTTTTTTGTACACATTTCCATAATTATTTTATTTTGAAGTAATTGTATAATAATATAATATAATCCTATATATTATTTAACAATAAATACTATTGTGTATTTAGGTTTTGCGTTTGACAATTGTATAATTAATTATTTATAATTACTTTTTTCTTATTTATGGTAAGAACTTGAAATCAATAATGTGCTAAGTAATATTTTAGGTTCTAGGACTATTACAAAATTAATTATTAAACTTGTATATACTGGCGAAATTTAACAATCGACTAGCTGATAACATCACTAAGGGATAACGTTACTAGGATTATATAAACTTCTAAGTATGTTCCTGTTGGAATATCAGTATATGTTTAGGAATAATGGCGGTTACATTGTTCCTGAAATACATATACGCAAGTTTTTAGTATTTTTTTGTATTATTTGAGTTAAATATTTTCATTATTATTAGTTTTAATTTGATATTTTTAATTTAAATGTTTTTGGGTAATTTATCATTTCTTAAAATTTGAAGAAAAATGTAAATAAATATATAAGACCCGTAAGGTCTTATACTTGTTAATAGCTCAGTTTACTTTTCTTTCTGTTTATCTACATATTTATTTACTTATTTTAAAATAATAATACATTCCTTCCTTATTTTCCTTATTCACCCTCTTAAAAACATAGCTGCTTTATATGTCATTGGGTTTAGCACTTAAAACATAAATCTGAGCCTAACTTAATTTTTTAATTTTTTGGTACATAGCACGTTATTGAATTCAAGTCCTCATAGAGATGTAATGAACCCTGATTTTTGAGATCAAACAGAACTGTAACTGAATTTTCATTTTATAATCGAAACCAAACCAAACCAAATGTTCAATTTTTAAAGTATATATTATAATTTATTAAATAATTATGATAACAATAAATATATTAAATTTAGAATTAACAAATTTAAGACTTATAATATGCTATAATTTTATAACCATATTCGAACATATTCAAGTATAAACATTTGTGCAAAGAATCCAATTGTGCAGTTTAGTAAATAGCTGAGAAAGTATTAAATAACTTTGTATTTTGAACGGATTAATTAATATTGTGTTACATTATTATATTGTATTTTGATTTTGTGTTTATTACGTTTCATAAATAAAAGATAACTGTTCGTAAACCGGAACTTAGTGTAAATATTTTTTATCCATCGTGTTATTAAAATTGTATTTGTGTGTGCGGCTAGAGTCAAAGTTGGACTGCTGGTCTTTTAGTCAATCTTAACAATTTGTGTGCGTAGTGGCTTGTTTTTGGGCTTAACGGTCGTTTAGTTGGTATAGTGAAAAGGTAGTTGTGCTGGTGGCTGACGAAGAGCCACCCTTAAGTCTGCTACTTTTGAGTTAGACCATGTTGACGGGTTTAAGCTCTACCCCTTTAGTAATTCACTAATTTGAGGGATTGGGGTTAACCAGTATATCCAACAGGAGGCCTCGAGAAGAGCTAAAAACGACGAACTCGTCGTCAAAAAACTTTTGTTAATTTGTGTACGACTTTTGTGTCTATTATAAAGTTCTATCGTATTTCATTCTAGATAGAATAAATCCTTTGGTGGAAAATATTATAGGAGACTATCAAAGTGGTTTCAGAAGAAATAAATCCATAATAGATTAAATATTTATTATAAGACAATTATTTCAGAAAACTGGAATTCGATCAAGAACTACATACACTCTTTGTTCATTTCAAAAAGGCGTATGATGGTATCAACAGAGATAGTATTTACAAAATTCTAGACACATTTCTGCATCCCACAAAAACTTATAGGACTAATTAAGGCCATTTTAAAAAAGATCATGATAAAAGTCAATGTTGATAACGTACTATCGAAGGGGATTCTGATGAACACAGGCCTACGGCAAGGTGATGCACTATACCCAATTATTTTTAATCTTGTTCTGGAAAAAGTAGTTAGAATTATAAATATATACCACTAGATTTGTTTTGTATTAAAGTATAACGTCTATTAAATAAATTGTTGATATATTTATTTTTTATTGCTGTATTTTACATAAAACTCTGAATTTTTTCTGATATTTTGAAAAAAATTATAAAAATTCAGTGGTAAATTTGTAGATAGCAAACGAGAAAAATGTCAGATCAAAAATTGTTCAATTTAATATTTTAAATTTTATGTAAAAAAATATTGAAATTAATTTGAATGCAATTAAAGAATAATAAAATGAAAACATTTTTTTACGGTACACGAAAACCGCTAAATTCGTAAAAACTCAAAAACAGTTCTAATTTTAGCTTCGATGCGAAGCTGAGAAGGTATTGGTTTTACTAAGATGTGTTTTTTTTTTTTTTTTTTGTGTCTGTTACCACTTTTTCTCAGCTCTCACCGAACCGATTTCTTTCAATGATACGTCAAAAGATCACAAATCGTATCTAGTCAAAGACATTACCCTCAAAAATTGAAAAAAATTCCCTCGTTCCCCGTAAATGGGGAAAACCTCCGAAAAAATTACAAATTAAAAAATCGCTAATTTTCGAAATTATTTCAATTTTTTTTACTTAAAAGTGCCATAACTTTTTCAAAAATGAACATATCAATATAATTCTTTTTTATATAGATGCATAATATCATTACCTTTCATTTGGTATATTTTTTTCATAAATTTAACCCTTAACCTGCCCACAAGGGGGGATTTAAAATGACAACTTTTTCACAAAAAATTAATTTTTTTAACTTAAATTTTGAAAATGTTCCGGAAGGTCTGACACTTTTATATATAT